CTAGCTCCGCTTCATCTTACGATCTCATCCTACCTATCTGTCGATCTATCTATCGATCTATCTATCGATCTATCTATCGATCTGTCTATCTACCGATCTATCTATCTATCGATCGATCGGTCTATCTATCTATCCATCTGTCTGTCTGTCTGTCTGTCTGTCTGTCTGTCTATATATCTATCTATCTATCTATCTATCTACATACCTACAAATCCTTATATGTGTCTATATTGATATACAAAGCCATTTGTACATATGTACATTTATATATATAGATAGATAGATAGATAGATAGATAGATAGATAGATATAGATAGATAGAGATAGATAGATAGATAGATAGATAGACTGATAAATAGATAGATCGATAGATAGACAGAAAAGCAGCAGCTCCGGCATTCTCATAGTCTTCCCACCACCCGCACCGTCCGGGGCATCCTGCAGGAGCAAGGCCATCGGGTCTATAGGCTCCCTTAAAGTGTACTGCAGGGTTCTGTCATAGCGTCCCTCTTAAAGGGTACCACGGTTTAGGGCCGAGTGTTTAGGTACTACAGGCCTTTAGGGCTCTTTAAGAGGCCTCCTTAAAAGGTACTATGGGGCTCTCTTTTGGGGGTGCACCCCTATACTGTAGGGTTCTACGATAGGGGAAGGTTTCGGGGTGTCCTCTTCTGGGATACTAGTTCCCCTGCCTGGAGCTCACCAATGCCTCCTACATCGCAGCACCAAGAGCTTCGCAAACCCGTCAACCCGAATGAATTCCTGCAACCGTCCAAAACATCCGATGGCCCCTGCCCCAAACCCCAAAAAATCCCGAGCTCCTGTGAACAAACCAGACATACTCAAACATTACAGAACCCTTAAAAGCCCTCTAAACACGTATAGTACACTCCTGTATGGCCCTTAAAAAGAACCCCTTCTAAGAACCCTCAGGAGCTCTCCAAAAGCCGAGCCTTCGGACCGCCCAGACCATTGAGTACCTGCGCAAGCACCAACTGGGTCAGGAAGTCTCAACATTGGGCTTTAGGGTTTAGGGATTTTGGGCTTTAGGGTTTAGGGGTTTTGGGCTTTAGGGTTTAGGGATTCGGGCTTTAGGGCTTAGGGCCTCATAAGGGCTCGTTTCGGCCTCGAAAGGACTCGGAATTTTAGGGTGAAGGGGTTCAGGATTCGTTTATAGCTCCTTGTCTACTGGATCCGTAGGCATCTCCAAGGAGGGCCCTTGGGGGTGCGCCCTGAAACTCTGTGAACGAAAAGTAAGGTAGGGGCCGTAATAATTTGAATAGGGTTTGGGCCATACTATACTATAGTTATAATAAGGAGCCCCCAACAAATATAGGCAATTATTCAGGCCCCCATTAGTATCTACTTTGGGGTCTGCTATGGTCACTAAGGGAAGGCTTCCACAGGCTTCATCAAGTTTCGTAGCGGCAAGAAAAGGGTTTTTAAAAAGGTTTGAGAGCGTCTTTTTGGGCCCCATTGGGCTTCCTAAGGCCTCATATAGGGTTTAGGGGTTTATAGGTTTAGGGTTTAGGGTTTAGGGAGTTTAGGGTTTAGGGTTTTCCGAAAAGCGTTGAGGCCCAGAAGGTTGCCTTCGGACAGACATCGAATATTTGACAGGATCCTCGTCTATGGAAAGCGCTTGCCAAAGGCGGCTGAAGTTGTTTCGATGTTTGAAAATATGCAAGGGGAAGCAGGGGTAGACTTCGACCCATGAACCCGATATTTATAGGGTTTCTTTGGTTCTGGAGGTTCCATAAGAACTTTGTAGCATCATTCAGGGGTTTGGCATTTGGGGTTTCGGGAGCACGATGACGACAACGATTGCAGTTGCTAGCTCTGTGCTTATTCATTGTTATTGCTTGTTTTGTAGCCGGTCACTCTAGTCTCCGATCTTCCGAGGCTCTTCTTGCAAAGACTTCATCGGTAGCCCCCTACGCCCGACAACCCTAAACCCTCAAACCCGACAAAGCTTAAACCCTGACATCAGGACCTCTAAAACATCATAAACACCATGCAGTTTCAACGCTGACGCCCTCACATCCTAAAACGTCCCACTAAAGGAACCTGACTAAGAAACCCTCTGTGTTGATCAGGTATCTTTCTATATGAGTCGTAATCCATTGAACCTATACTATAGGGCTACAGTTTGGGGCTAAGGGCTAGGGTTTCTTCATTCAGGGCTCCCACATGGGGGTTTCCGAAAATTAAATAGTAGGATCCTTACTATCATAACTATAGCTACCCTAGTTATAACCCCACTTATAAGGACCCCAAATTAAGGTACCCCTTATTATAGGAAGCTCCCACATTACGCCCTGAAGCTGCCCCTCTTTTTTTTCTGCCGAGCCTGCAGCGGCGCCGTGCTGAAGTCCCGGGCCGCGCCTTTCGGCCTTCTTCGACACCCACGTAGGGGGTTTGGGGTTTAGGGGTGCCTTTCAATCAGGGTAGGATGATATACGCCCCAAAAAGGTTAAAGGTTACCTACTCAGCTACTATAAGCCCTTTGGAGGCTTTATCGCGCTGTTTGGGTTGGGAGGTTGGGAGCTTAGGCGGTTTAGGGCTTAGGGTTGTGGGCTTGGATTTTCAGGTTTTGTGTTTTAAATGTTTTAAAGTGCAAAGGAACTTTTTCGGCGCGGACCCACCAAAGTTGGGTGTGCATTCAGATAGGGGCTCATGAGAGCAGTGGTTTAGGGACTGGGGGTTTAGAGTTCAGGGTTTGGATTGCTAAGGTCTACAGCTTTGGCGTTCTAGGTCGAGGGTTTAGGGCTGGAGGTTCTTCGGGTCTGTGGACGTTTGAAGCTGGAGGCCTATATGGGAGTTTCCGAAAATGGGGAACCCTAAATATAGAACCCTAAATACTAGGATCCTTATTATAAACCCCAATATAATAAGGTACCCCTTACTTTCGGAAGCTCCTATATGGGTTGTAACCCTAAACCCTAAAACCCCTAAAACCCTAAATCCATAGGCCAATGTGGGTTGCTGAGATGCGAAAAAGGGGGCCCGTAAATGCCTCCGAAACGTCAGAGATCTCTAACTGACGAGTACTGACTCCCAATGTAAAATATTTAGGGCTTAGGGTTTGGGGTATTTAGGGTATTTAGGGTATTTAGGGTTTCTAGCGTATTTAGGGGCTATTTAGGGTTTAGGGGTATTTTGGGTTTTTAGGGTTTAGGGTTAAGGGTATTTTGGGTTTAGGGTATTTAGGGTATTTAGTTTGGGCTTAGGGTTTAGGGTATAGGGTTTAGGGTTTTTTAGATTTAGGGGATAAAGACCTGCCACACCTATTTCCCGAATCGCTGGTTGCAACAAAAGGGTCCTAGTGCATTACCTTTCTGACGATTTGCTCTTCTCCTTGACAGCCGCCATCACCGCAGACCCGGAGGCCATGATCTGCAACCGTAAAGTAGCAAACCCGAGCCGAAAACTCCTAACCCCAAACCACGGGAACAGAATACAAAATATGACACCCTACGAAAAACCGAAACCCTGAACATCCCTGAATTGAAAACCCTGAACATCCCTGAACCCTAAACCCTTGCAACCCTAGAAACCCTAAACCAGCAACCCTAAACCCTATAAGCCCTTAACTAACAGGCCTCTTCTGGGAGGCCTTAACCTCCCGTGCCAGCGTGAAGCCTTTGCAGGAAGACTAGGGGTTATAGGGTTTAGGGCTTAGGGTTGAGGGTGGTTCTTAGCAGGGAGTGGGGGGAATGGATGATAGGGACTACTAATGCGCCTGAAGAGTCTATCATAGGGATCCATCTCCCTGATTCCCTCCTAAGAACGAGGGAGAAGAAGGATCTAAACAGCGTTCAGGGCTTGTGATTGAACTTAGCGGGTTACGTGTGTATATATATGTATATATATATATATATAGGAGAGCAGCCATCATCCACCGCGAAAGAGACAGAAGAGTCCCTGCAGCCTAAACCCCTAAACCCTGAACCCTAAACTACTATGGTCCAACCCAAGCTCTTCGGATGTGCAGTCAGCCTTACTTAGTTCTTAACGTGAGCCCAAATGCTCTGCCGAATGTCCCTCCTGACATGACGATCACGAAGGAAGCAGACTCCATTATGTACCTTGTCGTAGAATATGTTCAGGGCCTCAATAACTAGAGTACGCTTTTTTTAGGATGTCTCACTAACTACAAAACAGGGACTTGTTCTCAAGCTTTACTCATATTGATCATTCTGAGTTGAATAACTATTAGACTATTCGACGTTAGTAGATACTTCATGTCGCAACCTTAATCCTGCAGTATACCTTCGAAGGTCCAAGCAGCTGTCCACTCGGAAGGTCAGTGTCGGGCCCTGCGGCAACCTTGCCAGTTTCATGTAGGTGGCAGCTTTGGTCGCCGTGAAAATGATGAGGTGAGACACCTGAGTCATGGCAGGTAGCGCATCGGAGCAGGCGAAACACATCACAAAAAAACTGCAACCCCCTCACGCAACCCAGTTATGGAAATACCGCAGTGGAAAAGCGACCTCGGCCATGAAAGCCGAGGTTCAGAGTGAATGGGCTTTAGAAGGATTTAAATTTAAGCTTTGGAGAAGAGCGTTTACAAGGGCTTTATAGAGTTGCATACAGACTTTATGGTTCGCAGGCAGGGTTACACGTATCTGAATTGTGGGGCCGCAAGTAGACATACCTTTCGCCCCACCTTACTTCTATCCCCACTAAGCCTCTGCCCTAAGCCCGTCTATATACCCTAAACCCTAAACTAGAGCCTTTAGGTACAGCCGACGCTGTGGACCAAAGCCGGCCCAGGGACGTTGAAATGACTCGCGACCTAAGCAGGGCTTTGGGTTTAGGGGTTTAGGAGCGTAGGGGTTTAGGGCTTAGGGGCTTAGTGTTTCGGGTTTAGGGATTTAGAGCTTAGGGGCTTAGGGTGCAAGGGGCGGTGTCCAATCCAGAAAATAAGAACAAGCAAAATACATTAAGCAACAAACAAACAACCAACCAACCAAACAAACAAACATAATGTATGCCTGTATGTATGTGTGTGTGTATGTATGTATGTATGTATGTATGTATGTATGTATGTATGTACGTACGTACGTATGTATGTATGTATGTATGTATGTATCTATGTATCTATGTACCTATGTGTATGCGTATGCGTGTGCGTATGTGTATGTGTATGTGTATGTGTACGTGTATATGTATGTGTATATGTGTATGTATATGTATACGTATATGTGTATGTGTATGTACATGTACATGTGCATGCATGTATGTATGATTATGATTATGTGTAAGTTTTATCGCAGAAGTTGCTTTCATGTTGTGACGTAGGACCAGGAGGGGAGAGTTCCGGGACAGCGACATGCCTCGCTGCCCCACCTACTTAGACGTAGAATTTCGGAAAGGAAAACACGAAGGATACACCACCAAAGGACCTCAAACGCACACCTCAACAGGCGATGCGATGCCAGAGTACTCTGGGGGCTGTTGCCAGCAAGACTGGCGCCCGAATGAACCAAGACGGCCCCAGACCAGCGGCAAACCCAAATGATTGTGACGACCATCGGAATTTGAGAAACGGTTGTCTTTTACTTGCGAGTTTACAGGGCTTAGATTTAGGACATACTTCCAAAGATCAAGGGGCCCATGCCGATCCATATAGGGTAACTACGTAACTACATAATAAGCTTCTTTAAGCTCCTTTCGGGGCACTTGTAGTAGCAGTAACTTCAACTGCGTGTCCACGGGCTTGTTTCTCGCAGGTTTTCGGGTTTTCGAAGTTCAAACTGCTGCAAAGTGTCGGTCGAGGGCCTAGCTTTGGGGCTTTTGCGATTGTTGTTGATCTTCTTCTTCCCGATGCCATCGCCGGTCAGAGGTAGTCGGAAAGAAGGGTTTGTAGGGCTCAACCCCCGCACCCCACGTCCGAAAGCTTGAAACTCCTAAGAACCATAGGGTTTAGGGTTTAGGGCTTAAGGGTTTAGGGGTTTAGGGTTTAGGGTTTAGGGCTTCCATGTACGAGTATCTAGAATCTAGTAGGAATCACAGCAACTGAAGCTCGAACCCCTCGAAGCCCCCAAAACTCTACGTAAAAAAAAAAAACCATGAATCCCCCGCAAAATTTTCACCCCAGAAACTCCAAGACCCAACAAAGCCGCCTAATACTAAACCCAGGCCTGTGAGCCCCACAGCAGATCCCTAAGCCTCCGTAAGCTCCGTATAGAGCCCGAGAACAGCCCCCTTATAAGCCCGAAACCCCACATAAACCCCAAGCCCTAAACCCTATAAACCCAAAGCCCTAAACCCTGAAAATCCTAAGCCCTGAACCCTACACCCTGCAAATCCTAAGCCCTAAACCCTATAAGCCCTAATCGCTAAACTCGAAGAGCCCTGAGCTTCAGACAGCAATGAAGTCTTCGATCCGATTGATCTTCGACTCCTTCAGCGCCTTCGCGGAGTTCGGCATCATCACCATTCCTGGGGTTTTGTGGTTTAGGGTGTTTAGGCCTTTAGGGTTTAGGGTGTTTAGGCTGCAGGGTGGAGGGGTTTAGGGCTTTAGGGTTTAGGGGTTTAGGGCTTAGGGGCTTAGGGTGTAGAGTTGAGGGTTTGGGGTTTGGGATTTTAGGGTGTAGCCAAGCAGTTCGGATAAAAAACTTCTGTTGCTGGTTGCTCAGTGACCAGTGCTAGAGGTGGTCGCAGCTTCAATCCGAACAACCTTCTGGTTGTTAGAGAGGGTCTACTTAGTGTTAGTGTCTGCTTTTGTGATATTATAGCTTGATGCCTGAAACCCCAGCTGCAGAAGCCCGTCCAGGGATTAGGGAGCACCTTTCACGGCTGAGGCTTCGCTTGCCTTGTTGAAACAAAGCGTTATGCGATCATTTTGGGGTTATAGAGGGTGTTAGATTGTGGGATTGCAGAACAGCTCAAACTGGTCTCGGGCTCAAGGTCCTGAATTCGGATCCATGTAAGAAACTTTAGGGGGTAGCTTGGTAGTCTCCAAGCTGAGTCCAAGTGTGACTCACACTAAACCATAATTCCCAAAACCCTAAACCCCTCACCCCTGAACCCAAACCCCTTACCCCAGAACCCTAAACCCCTTACCCCTAAACATCTAAGCTTAGCTCTAAACCCGCCTGAGTCTTTTCGGTTGAGGGAAGATTTGGGAAATCGGGTTGTCCGGATCCTTCTGGGAGGTTTCATTGAACAGATCGACAAGATCCGAACAAGTGGCTAGTGCAGTATTATGTCGTTTTAGGGTTCAGGGAGGGGTTTAGGGTTTGGGGTTTGGGGTGTAAGGTTTAGAACTTGGGCTATTTAGGGTAAATTACAGTAATCCAGTTTAAAGGATCAAGAAGTTTAAGCAACTTTATCCATGTGGGGTACACCACACCAACACCAAGATTCGAAAATCTTGAACCAAGTCCTTGATGCGGTCGCCCACCTCAGCATAAACGGCGAGTGCCGAAAATGCAGCTCAAAACATGCCGTTGTTCTGGTTTAGTGATGTGGTTGGGGCTGCTTTGGCTTCTTACTTCGGAAGGTTCGGAAGTGCAATTGGGCCGCATCGCCGCGCTTGATCACGAAGCAGCGCGGCGTCAACTTCTTCCTGGGCGAAGAAGGACCACGTGCAGGCTTCGGCATCCTCTCTAGGAAGGAAATTGGGTATCTTGCATGTTGTGTCTGGGGGGGAGGAATACTGCAGAGAGCCAGGGGTTCGGCTGCAAGGATGTGCCTGTATTTAGCGTCCGTACTATGGACGCTAAGCTGCTGAGCGGGCAGCTGCAACACAAGCCATTGCAAGGTCCGCAGAGGAGCGGGACCGCTTGTAAACAAAACGTGAACACGCAGCTGCCTAATGTTTGTCCCAAGAACCTGCTGCTGCAGCGCTGCAGGAAGAACAACCAGGTTTGCTGCCATTTTCTCAGGATGTGGCTGACATGACGCTTGTCAAATGACCCTGAAAGTCAACATCGCCATCGACACCATGACCACCCTCCCGCTGCTGCTGGTGGTACTGCTTCTGCTTGCTGCTGCCCGTTTACTCTTACCACGACGAAGGCAACAACGACTAACACTGGCACCACCACAAAAGACTACTGCTCTCTGCCGCGTTACTCTCGCTCGCCCACATCTGCTTCCTTCCCCGTCCGGGTCTTCTTCCGCCTCGCGAGAGCGGGAGCAGGCCAGAGAATGGATCAAAGTGTCTGCTTTGTCAAACTAGAAAGCGCTTGCAACAATTGAAGCAACACTGAACTGCTACTGTAGGATGCATACCGGCGAACGTGCTGCATGAGCTTGTCTGAGCGAAAAGGTTGGACACAGTGGTCATGGAGTCAACGATACTGTTGCTGCTGCTGCTGCTGCTGCTGCTGCTGCTACTACTGCTGCTGCCCTGCTACTGCCCCGCTGTCGTCGGCGACACCGTTGCGCCACTTTTGACTGTCGCCAGCTTTCATGACATGTACAATGCGGTGTTGTGGGTGGGCGGTGGCTGAAAAAGTTAAACTAACATTTACATATAAATATCTATAAAGATACATGCATGCATGTATGTGTGTATATATATATAGAGAGAGAGAGAGGGAGAGAGAGATATGTAGGCTTAACCATATAAGTATATGTATACATGGAAATACAGATAGATAGATAGATAGATAGACAGATAGACAGACAGATACATAGAGAGACAAACGCATAGACAGACAGATAGATGGATAGATAGATTGATAGATGGTTAGATAGGTGGTTCGATGAAATATCGATACATGATCGATAGATCGATAGTTAGATAGATAGATAGATAGATCGATAGATAGACAGACAAACAGAGAGACATATAGATAGTTACAGTCTGCCTCGTAGTCTTGATTTGTCTCCGAGGGCCGAGCGCTGCTCGGAACTGACGTAGTGCATGTGCTCGTGCTACATACTGTCACCGGAAGGAGGGTTTAGGGTTTAGGGGTTTAGGGGTTTAGGGGTCTAGGGTTTAGGGGTGTAGGGTTGAGGGGTTTAGGGGTTTGGGCCTATGGAGCTAAGCCCAAGCTTGCACCCCAAAGGCTGAAACCCTGAACGCTACTAGCTTCAGGGATGCACCCGGCCTACGCCCCTGTCGCGGCATTCCGTTTGGAATGCAGGCGCCCGGAGTGGCGACAAATCCGGCAGCAGATGGAATGGACCATAAGAGATTTAGCTTGAAGGGTTTAGGGTTTAGGGTTACAAAGGGGATTATGGGCGACGGTAAGAGTTTAGGTCTGAGGATTCCGAGCTCAAGAGGCTGAGAGCCTGGGTGCCTAACCATTCGAAAGTTGGCCAGGGATGAACATAATCTGAAGAAAGCAGCGCATCGTGCTAGAATCCCTGTAGGGCCTTCAGGGTTTAAGAAATCCCAACAAGCCCTTCTTAGGGGACATATTCCGGGGTTTTCCCGATCCTATATCACAAGCTCAGCCAAGGCCAGGGCCAATGAGCGCAACCCTAAACTAAACCCTAAACCCTAAACCCCTAAACCCTAAACCGTTGCGTGTGTCGTTGGGGGGGGGGGGCCTCTGGGTCGTGGGATGTTGGGCCTGACGACGAAACCCCAAACCGTGACCGCGAAGCCCTGGATGGAAAGGCCCCCTTTCAAAGGGATCAACAGGGATCCGTGGAGGTTCTAGGGTTCCTTTTTGAAGGGATCTATAAGGGAGTTAAATGGTTCTGCTGCTAAGTACTGTAGTGCTGATGCTGCTCAGGCTAAGCTGGGAGCCGTCGAGGTCTTGACTGAAGCATTGCGACATGCAAGCCAGTAGTGGGTTTCGGCGACATCTGGATTAGGATTTAAATTTAAGGGTTTGAGGTTTAGTTTAGGGGGGTAAGGATTCAATTTCGGGTTTGGGTGCTATTTAGGATAGGTGCTAGGCGACAGTGGCAGGCAGCATCATCGCCAACATGCTCAAGACCGTAAGCCTCAAGCGACTACAGATCATGCGTGGTATCGGAGCTTCATGAAAAAAAGGGAGCCTGTATACTTCCGAAATCATCCCTAAACCCTAAACCCTAAACCATAGGGTCCTTGAGTGAGGGACCCGCACCTCTCGACATGATTGGAAAAATCCCGGACTTCTCGACGACAAGGGAGGGGCCCCACTAGGTGGCATTGTAAGCTGAGCAACCTGTGGGTTGCTTTTAGGGTTGGGGTTCTACGGTGTAGGGCCTGCGAACACCCAAATCCTGGATCTTAATACCTCCACAACTGCATTCTGTCTTGCGTGAAAGGAAGCTACTTGTCTCAAAATGTCATGGTGCTAGCTAGTCTCGATACTGTTGTGCTTGTCGTCGTCATGTGGTAGTACTTCGATTCGAGTATGTTGAGTGTTGGTGTCTGAAACTTTCTGTCTCTTTGCTGCTGTCCATAAATACTATTTATACTGTCGCGCCAACCCTTACTGGCTCTTGATTCCGCATTCTGCCTGCATTCCTGAGTGGTGCAGAATGCGTATGCTTGTTCAGCATGACATTCTCACATGATGCGATAAGCAGGAACCCGTCAGGTCACCCCCAACCCGAAAGGCTCAATCTCATACAGCCCAACCAGTCGGCAAGACTTCGTCAAGCGCTTCACCGTGCTCATTGGGATGCCGAGGGATGCCAATGACACCTCTTTCAGTCCCAAGGGAACCCACGCTCCACCCTCGGGCTTTGGCCCTAGACTTCTGTCTTGTTGTCCCTATTTCCTGCAATCCGAGACAAGCTGCTTCTTGGAGAGGCCAAGCGGCCAAGGGAAGGTGAGGTGGTTTACAGATTTATTGCTCTAGGCTTTGGGTGGTGCAGTTTGTGTCAGGTTCGGGCGTACAGCTGTTTCAAAGCAGTGTCAACACGGTCAAAGTCCCCGGCTCCATACAGCCGTAGAGCTGGACAGCACGAGCAAGCTCAATAGCCCCGACTGGTCCGCAGCATCACAGGAATGCAATTGGCAGTGGCAGTGCAGTGGGCTTTGCAGCAGTCGTTGCTAAACCCTAAACCCTAAACACTAAGACCCTCAAGCCCCTTGGCCTCCTCGGCAGCAGCTGCTGCCACCTCGGCCTCCCAGAAAGCTTGGATTAGGACCCAAATGTCAGGGTTTAGGAAGCATTAGGCGGACGTTGAAACCTTGGAAGTTTCGTACAAGCAGTCTCAGGGGTCCTCCCCTTTTGTATCCTAGAGTTGTGCAGTCTGCAACCCCGAACCCTGAACCTTGAACCCCGAAGCCCTACCTCTAGAGCCTAGACCCTAGACCCTGAGCCCTGATCTTGCTAAACTCGGGGTTTCGGTTGGGTGTCTGAGGCTTCGAACTGCGCTTTTGTTACCAAAGGGCCCTGAGGATCTACATAGTGGAATGTAGGGTCTCTACAATTAGGAACTACAAGTACCCTAAGGGTCCATGTACCCAAATAGTATATACTTTGGCCTTAAATTAATCCCTATATAGGTACTTTGGGGCCAAAGTATATACTATTTGGGTACATGGACCCTTAGGGGTATGGTTCGGGCAAGTATCCTCCACATAGGTCGCTCGGACCCTTTACGATTCAAGTGACCGCAATAAGGAAACCATTGTACGATTTCTGGTAGACTCTTATCATGGTACGTAACGAAGACAAGGTTCCTCAAAGACAAGAACCTAGTAAACGTGGAAGGTTAAGGTTGGGTTCAAAACAACGGCTCCTCTAAGGCTTCCCTTAAAAGGCCCAAGCACCCAGTCTGCCAAACAAAGAAATGGAACTTCTGAAACCGCTAAGCCGCGATCCGGGCCTTTCGTTGGGGGGCTTGGGCGAGGAAGGACCCGGTAAAAACGGGGGCCTTGTTTCATCAAAACAAGGTTTTTTGGGGTAGATTGTGCTGTATATGGATACTCAGAGGGAAAAGCATCAGTGACGCTTCCGACCCAAACAATAAACCCGAAACCCATGCCTCCATGACGACCGGCGCAGAAGGCAGTGGCAGCTGCGCACAATTCTTCCGAATATCGACTTGCCCTGGTTCCCGAAGCGCTGCTGGCATGTGTTCCGTGTGTTTGTCCCAGCTGAAGCACAGATTGTGCGCAAGGCCAAAAGTTGAACCCTAAACCCTAAACCGTACCTAGACCCTGCATTATGAAAGTGCAGCCTTCCGCTTGTTATTCATGTTTTGAGCTTGAGCCGACAATTGTTTAGGTCTGCACAACTTCCACAAGTATACCTGTTTCTGGTTCAGGGGAATATCCCTTATTCAAACTACCAACGTCCTTATACCATGCCGCTTTTGCAGAAGGGAAGCGGCAAAGATCAGGGGTATAAGCATTGCGGCCGGCTAGCTTGGACACAGCATGAACCGGCTGGACAGCACTACGCTCAAGCAGGATGCACGAAACCCGACACCCTACAAACCTCTGATAAGAGCCCTTAATGTTGGGGTTGTAATAAATACCACCACCCCCTCGAGGTTGCTTTGTCCAGGGTCTCTTGTGGTGGTTGTTGGGTTGGGTGGTGGCCAAAATAAACCTCTGGCCGGGTCCCGGGCCTGTGGTACTGGCAGTAAAATCCCCAAAAAACTCTGTAAGGCATCAAGCCTAAACCCTAAACCCCTAAACCCTAAACCCTAAACCCTAAAACCCCTAAACCCCTAACCTCTACCAAACTCAACACACGAGCTGTGGACCTCGAAGATCTTCGGCCCTTTCACAGGGATAGCAACCTTGATTTCTTCGCTTTGAAGCTTGGGTCCTTTGAACTTAGGGGTTTAGGGTTTAGGGTTTGGGGTTTAGGATTTAGGGTTTAGGGGGTTTGGGGTTTACGGATTTAGGGGTTCAGTGGTGTAGGCTTTAGGTCTAGAGTCCAAAGGGTCTCATGCGGTCATAATGTTAGTCTTAAGCTGTTGTTTCTAGGGGTGCGGTATTTTTTGGCGGGTAGCCTTAACATTAAGGGTTCTACTATCTAGGGTCTATAGCGGGGTCACTGCTTTGACATCACAAAGCACACACCCAACATCCCCAACACGACTGTAGCACATCGACCACATCTTTCTATACGTACTGCTCCAACTGGGGCAGTCAGGAATCTGAGTAGCAGGGCTACATGGGCAGAGTACGAAGCTCAAGGAAAAGACCAACTCATGCTTCGTGCCAGCTTCACTTGCAAGAGCCCAGAAGCTCGCATGCATACACCATCATAACCTAACGACAGACCAGTCTCGCTCTCTCTCGCTCGCTCTCTCTCTCTCTCTCTCTTTTTCTCTCTCTCTGTCTCTCTCTCTCTCTCTCTCTCTCTGTCTCTTAAACTGCAACAGTGCAACAGCTTGCACGTATCTCGTTTGACCTTAAGGTGCTCGGTACATCCCGGTGTGCACCACGGTTGGAACAACACTGGTCCGAGCCAGCTGCAAGTGCAGGTCATGATCCTGCTTTGGCAGGCAGCCATCTCACCCAACTGTCCACAACCATCGACAGCATGAGAGCTTCAAGAGGAGGCGCAACCGCAGACCGAACACAATGGGCTCCTTGCTTGAAACCCCTAAACAAAGCACCCATCAATCTGGGAAGCCCCAATAAGCCCCCTTGCAAAACCCTATAAATACCAGAAAACCCTTGTAGACGGCAGACTTCATACCCGCCCATCGGTTGGAGCTGCTGCAACACAAAGCCTCCGACAACTAAAGGCTTTTCAGGGCATAGGGGCTTAGGGCGAAAAAGTGCCTAAGTCTATAAGTCGTGAAACATCAAAACCCTTGAAGTCGTAGAATGTCGTAGAGCCCTAAACCCTGAACCCTTCACCCTAAACCATACACTCCAGGGAGGTCCCCTGCCTCAACGAAGGGACAGGAGAGCTCAACCTCGCAAGCACCAGCAAGGGCTTTGCAGTGCTGGGATATTCGGGGGTTGATGCGGGCTTTTTCTCGGGGCCTTGATGCGTTTTGGGTTTCCGGGAGATTTTCAGGGCGGAGGCATTTCGATAACTTTGGGACTTCGTGCGTAAAGCGGCGCGGTCCCCGAATCGTCTGGCCAAACAGGGTTTGGAGATTCGGGAGGACTCGCATAGATGCCATGAGGATGATGACGATGGTGGTGGTGGTGGTGGTGGTCGTGGTGGTGGTGGTGATGGTGGTGGTGGTGGTGGCGGCGGTGGC